GAAATTCATCCGGCCAACGGGCGGGCCCTAACCTAGTATTAATCGTTGTCTTTCAAGCACATGGTATGGCGGGCCTGTGCAAACTTCAAGCTCATGAGTCGGCTTTCGTTTGAGGGAGCGTGTAAGGAAGTGGTTAAGTACCATACACGGGCCTGTATAAGATCCAGCATAACCTTCTTCCAACAACTCGAGTTATTGGGACCAACTGGTTTATGACAATTATTATTATTTTTGCAGCAAGATAGAGGAACAGGAATACGGAAGGTCAATATTAATAATAATTAATCGGGTTCTCATATTATATTTATAAAAAAAAAATTAAAAGCATGCGTGCTGAGTTGAGTTTAGTGTACGTAGCTAAGCTAGTTCAGTTTGTCTAGGAGAAAGAAAAGAAACAAGTTTCAAGAGATCATGGAAAGCAAACAAACAAGTGCACCCACCTCCCTCCCTCCCTCTCCCTACTCACAATTTCAGAAACAAGTTTCAAGCTCCAGCTCTCTCTCTACTCACAATTTGTCATTTTCTGTTGTTGTATCATTTACTTTGTCCTTGTTTCGTGCTCTCTTGCCCCCCTCCTCCCCAGCCCTGGCGCCCTTTTCCACTCACCTTGGGAAATCTTTATTATTTCTCCCCTCTAACAAAAAGTGACTAACCTTTTTTCCCACCAAACCATGTTCCTGCGCATCTCTCTCTACCTCTCTCTCTCTTCCTGACCAGCTTTGCTCATTTATCCAAATATGATCGCTATATCTTGTATTTCCTTTTAGAGACAACAAAGCTTTAACACGTTGTTTTGAGCTAATTTTCTTGTTATATAAAATAATCGGTAAATTACAAGTTTGGTCATTTGAATTATTAAATTGCATGGTTGTTAACCTGTTAATTTGTCAACTTAACACTCCGACCGATTCGACTCAGACTAGGAAGTCTTACCGGGCGCCGGAAACCCAGCTGGTTATTAGCTCGGATTGGGTCAAATCCTACAAACCCAATCAGACACAACAAACTTGGTCGATTTGACCGTCTATCGAGCACTTGGTCAGACGACTGCATGACGTCGAGTTGGAGCAAACGGACAGAAAATGCCCAAATATTGTAAAATCCCTAATTGTAATCTCTACCTCCCTTCTCAACAAAAAAAAAAAAAACCCTCGTGAAACCCTTCTCCCTTCGACAGGTTCACGTTGACCAACACGATAACACCGCGTCTAGTCTGTCTCAGATCGTGCAAGGTCCGCTTCTCTCCTTTCCATGATCCCTGCGGGCATAGTTTGCCCATGCTGACTGAGGTGAGGTGCACTTCAATCGCTTCTCTACTCCCCTAGGTTACATCGTCGACTAGGAGTCGTGAAATTTGAATGGGAGAGGGAATCACCAGCTTTAGAATGAGCTGGTGATTGATAAAAATGGAAATATGGATAACAATTGATGCATAGTAAACATACAAGTGATAAGTATCCTAGATGTGCCTAGGGTCGTATACCACAGGTTGTTTTAATAGTAGCTACTCAAATCTAAACTAATGTATTAAAGTATACAAAGCAAGGATAAGAAAACTAGTTGGATGAGGTGCCCAATTTGTGTCATAAGCTACTAATGCAAACCAAGAAACGAACAAAAATGCAAGCAATTAAAGTAATGTTTATGTGTCTTCTAGATGGTCATGCATACTATCTCCTCAATAAGATGCGTCCATACATCATCTATTATGATGCCCTATCCTTTCCTTTAAGGCCTTGTGATAGAGATTTGACTAGCTAATGCGTACTTTCTCTTCATATCGTCATCTAATCAATGAAGAACAAGAAAGTTAGGATATAATATCGTTAATTATGGGCTTCTATGAACCATAACCACTGTCTATAGTATCCATGATCTAAGAATCAAGCATCAGCCTTAGTCATGTATATAAGGGTAGCTAATCCTCCTATACATGCCTAAGAAGATGCCTACTACATGAGATTAGTTTCTTTGTTTCACATAACAGTAGTATAAACAATGACTATAACAACATACATCATAGACTCACACACATGTAGTTAAACCATCAAATGAAACAAAGCGTTGATGATCATACATAGGAGATGATTAAAGCATCTAGAATACAATAAAGAATCCAAAGCATAGGCATCGATGATCATAACATAAAACAAGATAACCACCTTATTAACTCATAGATAGTAATACACAATCATCATAGAATTCTTATGCAACCCTCAAAGTGTTGGATTTAATCAGGGTAAACTCAATTTAATCCAATTCAAAGATTGGAGTTGAACTCGGCAGGAACACACAAAAACAAGGCTTGGTTTCGTGTGTTTGATGGAAAGTTTCGTGCAACTTTCACAAGGGAAAGAGGCTTGAAAACTGTAATTCGATGCTTGGCCACGATCAGGGTGATAAACTGATTGATACAAGCTCACGATTGCTCATAATCCACTAAGCAACCCGATTCAATTCGTCAAGCAAACAAGCTAGATGAACCAAAACTCTAAGGTTTGTATTCAATGATCAAAACTGAAGGTTACAATGCAAATGAAAGGCTTAAATAGGTCCTAGCTACGTCTAACAACTCATAAGGAAGTTCTAATTATACAATACAACTCGAATTAGAACTCAAAACCAACAATTAAAACTTTCCAAAAAATACATTGAAAACTTGAGACCAACTCCCAATATCTCACTTACAAAGTGCAGATTGAAGGAGACCAGCTCTGATACCAAAATGTAACACCCAGAATCTTTTCCCGACGAAGATATTGTCCGCTTTGGGCTTCGACCCTCGCGGTTTTTACCTTGGGGTGCAATTCAAGGTGACTTCTCATAAGGTCACACATCTTTGTTGTACTCCACACTGAGCACGTTTAACTTCGGAGTTCTTACAGAAACTCCTTCATTTCACCTCAAAACCCGTCTTGTCAACTAATGTCGGTTTCTTACTTATGAACCATGGATCTTTCCCGTGCTTTATCAATGTACGATTTTCCTAAGGTGTTACGCTTCTCTTTCTTCCCTGCTTTATTTTTGGACTACCAATAAAAAAAATTCCCAATTCAATTTACCTCTTCCCTCTTCCTCCAACTCAATCTCCGCCCAAATATCTCAAACCCTAGCTTCCATCTGTTTCTTCACCTACAAATTAAATGTCTAGTAAATTGGTCATGTATTGGATTTCATTTGTAAACAAATCCTCAAAGTTTTGGACGAAGATACGAGGAGGCACGTCGCCGGAGATAATGCTAATGTTGAGCATGTTGTTCCTAAATCTTACTCCCGCAAACAAGCAGCCACGATGACATATCAATACAAAAATTAGGTTTTTTATTTTAATTGTTTTTTGAGTGATAGAAAAATAAATGAAATTTGAATTTGAAATTCTATGACATATCAATACAGTCAATGCCGGTCAAAACTTGCAAAAAATAGTTTAGAATAGAAATGGAACACAAATGACATATTTTGGATAGTTCGTATGTCATAGTGATATTAACCTCAACTACTATAACCAACCGAGCCTCCATCAACATTTCGCCCAAGCGTACAGAACAAAAAAAAACGCCAAAGTTCATGCCACTAAGGGTGGAAATTGGGGTGGGTGTGGTTACCCGCCCCACATTTTGCGGGTAACCACACCCACAAATGTAGAATTACGCTATCCACAAACCGCTCCGCAGTGGGTAGTGGTTAACCACAACCAGCTGCGGGTTGGTGCGGGTTGGTTGTGGATACCCACAAAAATTTTACATTAAATATAATAATATGGTAATTAAATAGTGATGTTGTGTTTCTTCTCACACAAACAAAAAATACATTAGAAAGTTAATAAAGTGTTAAATAAATTATAAGGGGTCATTTGGAAAACAAGATTTGGATCGTGAATTTATTGAATCCATAGATTTAGCCAAATGTGATGTTTTTTTGCTACTTTTTTTTATCGTGGATTGTAACTTCGGAGATTTTAAATCTCTAAAATCTAGAAATATCAAATCTCTCATAATTAGAGAGATTCTACATCTTGATTTTGGAGATTTTCTCCCTCCTATTTTATCTCTTGTTTTTTTTTTATTTATCCCACTAAATACCCTTACCAATAAATTCTCAATATTTTTCGAGCCAATCTAATTATTTTGGTTAAGGATAAACATGTTATGTGATAAAAAAAAATAGAATTTCGTTTTTCATTGGATGTTAACAATCATAGTTACCAAAGAATGAACATTTTCAAATCTTTTTTCAACAATCCAAAGAGTTAAAATCTTTGGATTGTCTAGAATCTAGAGATTTAGACTCCAATTCTCCAAACGAGCCCTAAATCTCGAATACAATAGGTTAGTTAGTGTAAATTTAGAAGAGATGGATTTGGAAAGAGATTTGAAGATAACGCAGAGGCAAAGTGACCTGTTACTAGACAAACATCGTTGCATGTCACGGCTCCTCCTATGGCAACAACAGCAAAACACAAAAGTGGCTCGATAAGTGGAGGCGCCCGCTTTTAATGATTTGATTATTCTTCATTCTCAATAATTGTCTTGTATTGTTGGTAGCTGGTTGCATGTTGTGTTGTTCGTGAATTCGTGGAGAAATGGAAATTATTTTGGGTATCAGACTAACCTTTATCTATAATTCCCCTCTTTTAAAAAATCAACTAATTTATCTAATTATATCTATGGACTTGATTTTGTTATAAAATAAACATATACCACACGGACAATGCTTATTTGATAAAAATATCTCACATGAACATTGCGCATTGACTTGATTTTGTTTTATAGAATAAGTGTGTATTTGATTTTGATAGCTACTTTAATTCTTAGTCTTCCAAGTTTCACAAACTAATATAACTAATGTGGTTAATATGAGTTACAAAGTATTTGAAGAAATAAATATAACTAATGTGGTTAATGTGAATTTTGTGCGTAAATCGCTACGAGTAGTGGTTAACCACTAACCACAAAAATCAATATTTTGCTATCCATTATCCAGAAATTGTGGGTATGAGTATCCACAAAGTGTGCGGTTTGGTGCAGTTTGCGGGTTACCCGCAAACTTCCACCCCTACATGCCACTATGCCACTGAAATAAATAATGAAAAATAAAACTGTTGATCAATCCGCAGCGCAGCCTTCAGGTAGTGTCGTGCTGTGCTACATCAACGAATTAATGCAGCATCGGGGGACCTGATTTATGACTTGGTCATGGTCAAAACAATTCTTTACAGCCAATGCCCGCTGTATATAACCTGAGAAGCCAAACTTCCTTCCATGTTCATGAATGGTCGTGGCATGATTATCAGAAAAAAGTTGTCTATGGTTAGTGATGAACTATGTTCTGATGCAGTGCAGGTGTAACGAAGAACTACTTTCTAATTATTTATCTGGGCATCTTCCATTGCCGTTAAAGCGAGAGTCACCTCGCCCTGCTCTTTCTCCCGCATGGTACGTGGAACATGTCCTTTGCTGTGCTTTCTCCTTTGCCTCTGTCACTACTTGAGTTATCAAATACCATAGAGTGGTAGGATGATTTTGACGAATGAGTACGCTAGTGCACCTGTAAATATGTAGCTATCCACTCTGTCAAGGATCCCCCCTGCAATTAGTTTGCCAGAAAGCACACATTTTAGCGTAAGGCGTTCAGAAAGGGCAGTAGACAAGAGAACTTTCAGCTATTCGTATATTGTATTTTCACCAAAGCAACATACCAAGGCTAACCCAGTCCCTAATATGTTAAGTTCGACAATAAGCATCTTTAGTGAAGCAGACTTTTTAAGCTCATTGTCTCTTCTTTTGAACATTTACCAACTAGTTCGTGACATTAATAGTTTCACTGGACCTATGTGTTCGAAATATAAACAGGGCTTGAGGCAAAATTTAAAGATTTCACATTCTCTTCAGTTTTAAAGAACCAGTCCTCTATGGATAGGAGTAGGACTGTCATGGTAAAAAGATGAAAGGTACGGAGGATGCTCTCCTCCAGCATAGAAGAATCAAAAGATAATATAAGAGAAACAAATGTCACGAGAACTTCATTACCATGTCCTGGAATCAGAGAGCCAGAGTCCTTGACACCAGCATCACGTTTGATCATTGACTCTGTAAGGTCACCAAATACGGACCCCAAAAAGTTCAGCACCCCAAATGCAATGGCACTGAAACCATTCAATAAGGATTACTTCAGTTGATTTCCATATGATGACCAACATTGATACAACAAGTTAGGTGGGTGTGTGAGACACTGTGCAGCAACCTGATGGACAGGAAATATAACTTTCAAAAATTACTCAAGATCTAGCACCTCAGTGAAGATGTTGGCCAGGAAAATATCTTTGAAAGTATAACAGTAGTTGCTACACAACCCCCTAGGCCCCACAAAGTTCCTTCCCATGTCTTCTTAGGACTAATACTTGTCAATGGTGTCCTGCCAAATGCCTGAAACAGAATAAAAATAACGTATCTTATGGTGTAATGATGTTTTAGTGCAGCCAAGCCACTTGGGTGGGGGGGGGGGGGGGGGGGGGGGGGGGGGGGGGGGGGGTAACAAAGTAGATTACTAAAGGAAATGGAGAGGGGAAAAAATTCAGAACCGGGAAAGCAGCATGTATTGAAAACAGGGTGAAAGAGTTCTTGAAGAGATGAAATGACGAGTGGGGACTATTCCAATGAAAAAGATATAACTAACAAGAACCTAGTCAAATATGATCCTTCATCTTTTGAGGTGGTGGGAGTTCATCGGCCAAGATAAAAGAAACTGAATTAAGTATTTTCCCCATCTTGGACCTTTCTACTCCAAAGAAACAAGTGAGCCTTGGGTGTTCAATTTTCTCAGCTAATTGTACTCCAGATTTGTATCACAAAATATGCAACAACCTTCAATCCATAATTACAGACAAATGCTCCATCACACCCAATGGCATAAAGTTAACAATTCATTCACAAATTAAGATTGAAGGATTCACACAACCTGAAAATCAAGGGAAAACTGTTAGGCTCTACCGTTTAGAGAAAAGCCTGAATACCTTGCCACCCATAAAAGCATATGTATCAGCTGCTATGATGCTGCTAATTGAAATCAAGGTTGCCACAAGGCCCACAGTCCAATGAGCCTGTCCACCTAGCAAAACAGGCCAGGCTGCACCTAATGCTGCCAACACATTAGGTTGTAGAATTAGATAAACACAGCAGGAAGCTGGAGGGGAAAATGCATGACAATATCAAAGAAAGCAGACTCCATGGAGCTATGAGTCATTGATGAACAATGCAGATGCATGTTCTCAAAAATATGAACTACACTCGAGGCTGTGATTAATAGATAATCTCATGTGCATCAGTCACCAATATAGCTCGACTGGTGGTTATCAGACCAAGAACTCAGAAGATCAGTACTAATTATAGGGAAACATAGCAAAACCTATAGTTTGTATAGTATAATATACCAATTTCTTACCAGTATTCAATGCCGGGGCTGCTAAAACACATCGAAGCTTGACCCAGAAACAAGGCAGATAGCCACAATAAAACAAGCCAAATATTGCACTGCTAAGCTGAGCAAACCGAGGATTTCCTCTCTGAAGAAGCAATGCGATGGCAACGACGAAAGCAGAAAAGGTTACTGGAATGTCAATCTGACCAAGATACCTGCTCATCAACCAAACAATAAGAAATTAATAGAGAAATCTATCAAGAAGCCATCATGAGTATTAAAATCATTGTTCAAATAAATTTTCAAGAACAATAAAGCATGATAGTCGGCCATTGATCTTACAATGTGAAGATTGGCATAAGAGCGCAAATGACAGAGCAAACTCGTGACACATATCGAGGAGGCGGGGTCATTCCAGCAGTTATTCCATGACTCCTAACCAATTCAAAGTACTCCCGGGAACCAACAAATACAGTAGCTGCCAAGGCCACAGTGAAGACCCATCCTCCAGCCAATACCACACCTCCGCAACCAAACCCAATTGCGAATCCAAAACCAATTCTTTTCCTCAGTTGACTTGCCTTGTTCTGAAGCTTATAAGCATTATCCTCTATTGCAGGCAAGTTATGGCCTTTGTCAATTTCCTATGGGAGACAATTCATTTCAGCAGGATGGCATTCAACGATTGAATCCATGGAACACAAGGATTAGTGGGAAATGAAAATCAGCAAACAAACAAATACTAGATGCATCCGCTGAACTACATTTACCATGGTTTCAGAAGGCACTGGAATTCTTCTCATATACACCACCGTCACTCCCAAGTTAAACCTTGCGTGTTATAAGGGCGGTGGTTCTCCCAATCAACCGTTCATACAATGGGATTTTCATATAGATCCAACACAAACACGACAGCCAACAGACAGGAAAATCAGTCGAACATGCAGTCGGGATCACATTCTCCTACTCTTACTGTTCCCTGACACAGTTTTAGATTCTCTAATTTTTCACCAATGGACGCTAGTCGAAATGAGATTCATTCTCAATCGAAACCCAAACGCGGGACCTACCCCCAATATAAGCAAGCGAACAGCAAAGTCAAACTCACCACTTTATGCCCGTCGTCAAATCTGTCTGCCTCCACTCTGGCCGCGGCGGCAGTAACCGCGTTCCGCTTGGCCAAAATGCAGCTCCCGCGAAGAACATGAAAAGCCGGCTTGTAGCAGTTCAAGACTATCTCGTGATCAACTTTTGAAAACCGTCTACTGATAAGTAGGGCGTTCTGGGACACAGGGAGCCGCGGCCGCTCACCGAGCAAAGATACAGACAGTGGTCTCAAATTGTAACGATCGATTTCAACGACCGAACCCATGGAATTCAACGACCGAACTGAAATTAAACCAATACAATTACCTGGCGAGCATTGTTCATCAAGGTTTAGGGATTATCGGGCTGAAAACGAGAATGGTAGATGAAGCGACGGAAATGGCGAAGAAGCTTTGTGGAGATATAGCGGTGGAGGACTGGAGGAGAGCTGTTAAGAATCGAAGTCAAGATATTTGATTGGGTTTTTGTTTGGTTGCGCCTGTTCGGAAAAAATATCAAAATACACTAGTTGTTAAAAAAAAATTCTAAATTACGTACGTTATAAAAAAAATTCTCAAAGTACACATATTTGACATTCACCGTCATCATCTAAAGCAGTGAATATAATCACCCACCGAAGACAACAACGGCGATGATCGCGGGAAACGAATCACCGCTTTAAACAACAACGGTGAAGGCATCACCGTTTTAGTAAAACACGATGAATGGGTCAGCGGCGTGGATCGCTGATGTGGACGACCGCGGGGCATTCATTGTCGTAGACAAAAGCGAGAAATGCCATGTTGTCCACGTCAGCAATCCGCGTCGCCCCGCCCTTTCACTGCTGCCGCCGGATGTAGTGAGGCGCGGATTTTGGTTTTCCTCCCAAATCCAACACCTCACAGCCTCCCACGTCAGCTATCCTGGCCATTCACCGCGTTCGAAAAAGGCGGGGTCTTCCCTGCGTTAAACAAACGCGGTGATGTCCCTGCATCAATTTCCAGCGGTCCCCCCCCCCCTCCCTCCCATTCCAAAACACACCACCACACTACTCTTCTTTCTCCCTCCATTCCTCCACTCTAGTTTCGTTCTAAGTATGCTCTGTGGTTGCGGCTAATTTCGATCTTCCACATCAGAAAGAAATACTAGAGTTATACCCTAAAGCCCTCCCCTCTAAAAATCCATCAAACCTCTGTCCGGCTTCTGCCAAAAAATGGACGAAGAGACTCTTCGGGTAAGTTCTTGGTTTTCCTTTTGTGATTTATTTTTTTTCCCATCGAAACAATCTGATTTCATTAAAAAAATATAAATGGGTGCCAAGATATACGATTCTCGGTTGTATACCCATTATGAACCAAGAGATACGAAGTATTTATCAGAGCAAGAAACAAATCGCTCCCGTGCAATTTGGCACAAACACTATGTACCTTATAATTTTTTACATTATTTCATTATTTTAAAAGATTTTATTTTGCTTTCCTTTTACTAACAAATGAGGGACCACTAACTTGCCTGTTTGGCATGATTGACTGTCGTCATATCTAGAGAGGACATGGTTGGGTATGTTGAGACATTTCATCCGAATTGAGATCGACAACGATCTTCTTACGGCAATGACAGAGCGGTGGCGCCCCGAAACACATACATTGGAAGGGGAAATGACGATCACCCTCAAAGACATTGCGATCCTCACAGGGCTGCCGATCACTGGAAAGGCCATCATCGGTCACTCTACCAAACCCGACGCGGGCTGGGGGCCGCTGATTCTTAATCGTTTGGGCTTCGACATGTTGCCCATCACTCCAGTCTAAGGACGGGGGTCTCCACGGATCCACCGTTGCATGCAAGACAAGTATCGATCTCGAGCTCATTGCTCACATCCAAAATGAGGTTGAAATCGGCCCAAACACCCCAGAAGATCAAGTGGAGCAGTATGTACGCGTCTACCTCATTGGTTTGGTTGGTGAATTTATGTTCCCCGACAAGGCATGTGGTTGCCATTGCTACTCGGTGACTAGAACCACCTTCGTGAGCACAACCAAGTTTGCCTTTAGAGGCTCACCTCCACTTCCAATCATACCACTCAAGTTCATTTCTTTCACGACATCATTCTTAACCTTAGGATCAATTGAAAGAGTGAGTTGCTCCTCTCCATCTCTCAAAACCAGAGTTCCCTCATTAACATCGATTAAGGCCTTGGCAAGGAAGGGGCGTCCTAGTATGAGTGGCATATCCGCCTCTTCACTGATATCAAGGATAACAAAATCTGTCGGATAAAAGAAATGGCCAACTCTCACTAGAATGTCTTCCATAATACCCCTAAGACTAATGACAGAACGATCGGCCAATGTGACACTAAGTCTAGTGGTCTTTAATTCACCCAAATGCAACTTCCTAAAAAGCTTATAAGGCATCACATTAATACTTGCTCCTAAGTCTGCCAAGGAGTTTTCTATATGATGATTTCCGATGCAAAGAGGTATAGTAAAACTACCTGGATCCGGTTGATTTTTAGGCAACTTGTTGAGGATAAAGGTGGAGCACTCCTCGCCTAAAGTGACATTGGCAAGGTCTTCATATTTTGGTTTCTTGGCGAGAAGCCCCTTGAGGTATTTGGAATACCTCGGCATGTGCACCATGGTCTCCAAGAATGGAATGGTGATGCAGAGCTTCTTAAGCATCTCCATGAATCCACCACATTTTGCCTCCAATCGATCCTTGAGCATCCATGGTCTCCAAGAATGGAATGGTGATGCAGAGCTTCTTGAGCATCTCCATGAATCCACCACATTTTTCCTCCAATCGGCAATGCCTTCTTAGGCTCTTCTTCCGTTTCTCCCACTTCTTCTTGATCATTGGCCGTTAAAGGAGTCTTCTCTTCTTCAGTCACTTCCTTAGGAACAACCTCCGGGTAACCTTCCCACTCCTCAAAAGAATAGCATTGCAACCGAAATTTTGATCTTTGAAGGTTGACAATAGTTTGAGAGTGTAGGGCTCCCCTTGGTTTCTCGGTGAGGATCCCGACGAGATTAATAATTTGCACCTCCAAGTTTTGAAGGAATGCTTGATGGCTCCTTAATCCCGCCTCAACCGAAGTAAACTTTATTGTTGCCACATCCATAAATTGCTCAATCTTCTCAAACTTTTGAGCGCTCGTGCTCACGAAGGTGGTCACAAAGTCTTCAAGTTTTGCAAACTTATTGGGTTGTTGGAACCCTTGACCACCTTGAGCTTGAAACGGTTGTTGAAAGTTAGAGCCTTGGAATTGCGGCCTTTGTTGAATGAAAGTAGGCCTTGGTTGAAAATTTCCCGTTGGTCCTTGGAAACTGGGGGATCTTGGGTTGGTAGGAGAAGACCAAGAGAAATTGGGATGATTTTGCCACCCCGGGTTGTAAGTGTTGCTATAGGGGTTATTCCCTCTAGCATTGGCAATGAAACTCACTTGCTCCTCGGGGGTGCTTGATTCCTTCATCATTTGACACTCTGAAATCTCGTTGTTGGTACTCGCACACCAATCACACGCCATTATCGGCCTCTTACCATGCTTCTTGTCCTCTAGGAGTGCATCAATCAACCGATCAATCTTAGCTTCAAGCGGGGGACTCACTCGTACACTTTGCACTCCTCTTGCGGTACTTCTCTTTCCACTTCTCGTCAAACCCCAATCATAACATTTACTCGCCATGTCTTCAAGCAACTCGGTCACTTGGGGTGGAGTCATGTTCATCAATTTCCCTTGACATAAGGAATCAATAAGGATATTGTCGTCTTGGTGGAGACCGCTATAGAAGGTCTCAATCCGGAATTGCTCCTCGAATCCATGATGTGGGCATTGGAGGAAGAAGTCAGAGTACCTTTCTCAAGCATCCCTCAATGTCCCATCTTCCTCTTGCTCAAAGTGGGTGATCTTCTTGCGCCACTCTGTCGTCTTTGAAGTTTGGCAATACCGAGTCATAAACTTGTTGAGCATGTCATCCCACGAGGTGATCGAGAGAGCCGATTTATTGTTCAGCCACGCATTCCCCGCAAGAGAGTAGGGGAGTAGCCTCACATTCAAAGCATCCTCGGGAACACCATTGATCTTCAAACTCCCCGCAAGTTCGATGAACTTCTGAACATGCTCCCTTGGAGACTCATCGCTAAGCCCATGAAACAGGCCATTATTTTGGATCATGGTGACAAGGTCGGGTTTGATCTCAAAATTGTTGGCGGCCACGGGCGGATGTCGAATGGCGGGTTGAAAATCCGCCGTCCCCGGGGCCATATAGTAGCCCATGGTCCTTGGTTGATCCTCCGCGGAAGCTCCACCTGGGGCGGGTTGATTAGCCGTCATATCAGCTTCACTTCCTTCCTCTTTGGAATCAAACCCTTCCTTAACTACAACTTCCTCTTCTATCCTCCTTCTTGCCTCCGCCAGTTCCCTCTCACGAGCCAAGAATCGGAGAGTACAATTGAAATTCTCATCCAATGGTGCCAAATGCGTCGGATTACTCCGGGTCATACACCTCTCTGCACACACTCAAGAGAACCACAACTCGTCTAACACAAGCAAGATTCACAAACACAAAAGCGAAAAGTAAAAGCTATATTAACACCAAACAATCTTTTCACAATAATGAACTGTTTGCTCCCCGACAACGGCACCAAAAACTTGACTCGTCCCAAATATCACAATAAAACTCCCAATTAAGGCCCAAGTATAACCCTCAATTGGGTGCAATACATGGCAAGTTTGTTTAAATGTCAACCCGGGCCGGTTCATGTACCCCTACTTCGATTGTTTGTAACATTATCTAGCGATTGTTTTTTTTTTTTGTTGTTGAAAACAACGATATATAGCTAAAAAGTTTGGAAAAGTAAATGGATTTGACACTAATTGAGAAGGCTTCACCTGAGTGTTGCTCCCCCTAGCTAGCAATTATGACTTGTCGGATCGAATGGACACATGTGGTAAGGTGGTTGTAAATCGTAGGGAAATGCAACAAATGGCCAAACACCACTCTCTCGGTCTCTAGGTCAAGGGAATTCGATTCAAGCCAACAAAGTAGCTTTCTTGACCTGTTGACTAAGGGTTGCCAAGACTTCACGCTTGAATTCAAGTTCGGACGGCCAAATTACAACCAACCCTATGGGCTAATACGAACAAAGAGTGTTGTCCTATATTAACCTAGATAGGAAACAAGATTTGCCTAAGAAAACACAACTTTACAAGCCTCTTTCAAATAAAGGGGGGTTTTCTCTCTACCTATGTTAGATTGACAAATAGATTGATAGGCAAACACACAACACAATCATTCATGAAAATACCTCCAAACTCACATTAAAACACATCCCCACACACAAATCATTCAATCCATACAAACATTCACATAATTGTAGTTAGGGCTTACAAACACCCAAGTGAAATAAGGGACTACTCCATGCTAGGAGAAGGGAAAACACAAGAGAGAAGAAAGAAAACCATCATGGAGATGCTAGCTTTGCTCCTTGTGTTAAAGAGATCCTTTTTTGAGGAAAGAATTCTCAAATCTTTGCTTGAAGATGAAACCCTAGCTTCTTCTTTTCTTTGGTTCGTCACTTTCTCACTCTAGAAATCTGAAGAAGAAGAAGAAGAAGAAGAAGAAGAAGAAGAAGATGATGATGAAGAAGAAGAAGAAGAAGATGATGAAGAAGAAGAAGAAGAAGAAGTTTATCACACTAGGTCTCCCCCCTTTTCTCCTTCAGCTCAAACCCTCTTTTATACCCAGGTCGAGCTCACATCACGGTCCCAGTTCATGACCGTGAACTCAAGGCGTGGACCGTGATCTCAGGCCAAAACGCGTCGTCTCAATAATCCATTTCACTGTCTGCAGCTTGGGTTCGCGGTCTTACGACTGTGAACTGGCTTGAGTCCAGTGAAAGCAAAAATGTCCCTGGACGTCTTGATGTTCACGGCTTGCGGCTCCAGTTCATGGTCGCCATAAATATGTACATTACCTTTACGTTTCAGTTTGGACAGCCATGCGTCTGCTTCTTGGTATTTCTGCTCAACCGGTAGTGGGACAAGGGACCATTGGTTCTTTGGCTACTCATTTAGGAGGAAACTTGCACACAGGGAAGATGCTCAGTGCTGGCTGGGTGGCTTTGCTTGCAACTTGGAGACTTTGCAGGACCATGTTTAGCCAGTGACTTGGCTGTGCGTTTTCCGATGCCCTGTTTGATTCAACTTCAGGTCAGGTGTGCTTAATAGAGAATCCAACTACTTATCAAAATTCCAAAAATTGATCCAACCAACTACGATAACTTTGGCCTTGGGAATTACAGAACTTAGCAGTCTCCTTATGTTTGTTTAACCATTCAAAAGTAATTACATAAGTTCCTCATTACCAGTCACACATTTACATAGTCATCCTCCTCCTCCTCCTGGTCAGCACAAAACAGTTCAACCCATCTGATGCATGTTTGAAATGCTACCACTCTTGACTGTTTTCTTTTTTCTTCCAGCAAGAGGATCAAAGAGGAATATTTGCCAGGGATCTCTCCAACTCATGCCCTTTTCAACACATACCCCAAAATTAGGCCTACAAGGGCTACAAGAATCACATATGTAACTGGGATGCCTCCACGATTTCTGCTAGTTTGTTGCCTCAGTAGCTCCTGCAAACAACCATTAAGACTTTATTTGATCAAATCCTCCACTACTCTACTCGAAATAATGGCTCATGTGGATAACCCACAATGTATAGGTCAGACTACGATGTGAAGTAATAAAACCCATAAACGGATCCTTCAGATGAGTATGATTTCTGGACAGTTTGAGTTTGGGGACTCTGTTCAATCCCTAATCAACTACAGTATTATATGTGTAAGCATGCATATACATATATGTGCCCTTTTCAGTTTAAAGTTTGCAGAGTAAAATAGAAGACTAGCGTATTACCAGTTCTCTCATTAGCTGCCTATTTTCCTTGGTAAGAGAATCTTTCTCATTGGTTAGCTTGGAGATACGAGCATTTCCCTGAAATGTGAGAGACAATAAGCCCTTGAATCCACGTAACAAAGAATTCTGAAGATGATATAACCGCACAAATATGAGAAACAAAGTAAATAAGGAAACCAGTTCTTTGAGGCAATCGAAAACACACCTCTGAGGAGTTATCCCGAGGCTCAAGTCTCTGAGCAAACTCGGTTCTAGAAACCTAATGCAGCGGAGTACAAGTATCATAGTCCATCAACGAAAGGCGACAGTTCAAAATATGAGCCAAATCAATTGGACAAGGCAGTAATCACCACTTACCATTGATTGCTCGGGCATTTGCACACTTCCGCTGTCAGACAGAGACACCCTAGGCTCTTCACCTTCCTCGGACCCTTCATGAACTGGGGATGGTGGTCCCGGAGGAGCAACATATACAACCCTCAACTTGCTCTCTTCCACAAGATGCCCTGCCTCCTTATTGAACTAAAACCACAAGAAGGTGACCCTATTGGTGTAGGGCATAGAGGAAACCCCAAGACTCGGGCGGTGAAAAGAATAATAACGCTGATTACGCTTTCATTAGTTACCATCTCTGCAGATACATCCTTTGCTGTTGCCCCAGGACTTGCCACAACACTCTGTAATAGGAACTTGTCCTTGCACTGCAATTCAAGAGGCATCTCCCTTTGTGCTTGCATTGTAACTATTGAAGCAAAACAACAATTTCAATGGTAGCAACCAACAGCTGGGGAGGGGAGGGGAACTCAAACTCAGAAGACTGCTAAATACATTGTAGAGAAAAAGAGAAAGTACCTATAACATCACAAGCAGACCGAGGCGGCACAATCCCAGTATTAGGCCTCACACAGTACTTCTTGGGATTCGTTGTCTTGACCTAAAAAAAGTAATACATACAACCAAATCAAAATTCACAAGACCGCCTGGAGCACAAGATACTCATCTCGCCAAGCCAAATAATCGATGGAGCTACAAAGACCTAAGTGAGAATTGAAGCAAAAACAGCTCAAATACCTTGAAAGCCACATAGCTGTCGGTCTTGTTCGATAGCTGCAGCGAACTGGAGATCTGCTTCTTCAATTCAACTGGCGAACAACAAACCAGAAACTGAAAGTTAAGACTTTAATGGAGGAGAAAGACGTAGCTTCACGGTAAAAGGCGGACGAAGCAGAGCGAAATGGCTCAGCGACGGAATTGAGAGCGAAAGCGTTTACATGGGAACTGCAGATCTTGAGGTTCGATACTGAGAAGGCCGCCGGTGCTCATACTGAGACGATCGGTAACTGACTCGTCTCCGGCGGATACAGAAGCACGAGAGGAAATTTCACCGGAGAAGGGAGGGAGAGAGAATATCGGGCGGAATGGGGAGGGAGGTGTGGGCTATAGACAAGGAGAGGAAGCTGGAGATGGTAACAGAACAGTGTCTCTCTGTATACTAGCCCAAAACCATTGTTATAAGAACCAAACCGGATCTAACGGTTGGATCAGTACAATTGTCAAACCAGTTACAATAACGATTTGTCTCTTTGAATACTAGCTAAAAGTCCAAAACACAATCAAGAACGTGAGACAAAGTTTTTAGATGGATTGGATTAGGAGGAATTTTACAACGCTATAGCATTGGTGATATATGTTTTTTTCTTTATGGTACAACTTCATATTGTACATATACTCTTTTGTACATCAAAACACCCAAGGGACAATTCTAGAAAGAGAGTGTGACCTAAGAGGGTTCTTGGAGCCATTTTAGAGGTGCTCAACCTCATTGTAGCTTGAAGATCATCCCTAGAAGACGAGGATTGAAGATCTTTGAGCCTATTGTATTCTCTCTCTACTTTCTCTCTATGAACTAGCTTCCTTCACTTAGGTTGATGAACCCTAGTTCTGAAATTTGGTTTGATTGTTGATGTATGTTCCTATGTTTGATTACTCATATTATCTATTTGATTGATGTTTATGAATTATGATGAATTGCATGAGTCTTGGCCATTCACTTGTCAACTTATCTATTGACCTAGTAGAGAGAATATTTCATTAGGTTGAATAGAACACCTTCAATCATTTAATATGGGTCTTTGAACGAGTGTGATAGGAACGATATTTTCGTATGGGGTTTTTCCCATTCGAGGGAGTTAGTGGTGAAAACCCCAATTGGCTAGGTCGGTTGTTTGGTACGCTTCTCTAGGTTGTCAATCGAGCGAGTTTGGATACCTCGAATAGGGGGTCCAATCTAGTTTAGAATTCTCTATGGTAGAAGTATCGAGTCCATTAATCTAGGATAGTACTCGTCATCGACCAATGACGGAATTAGGGGATTCATACCTAAGTGAGCTCCCACGTAGTGGTTCAAGTAGCTTAGTTAGCTTAGTCTTAATCACTATTCTTGTTTAGCTAGATAGCATACCTAAGTTGAAGTAACAACAAACCTGGAGACTCGTGGATTCGATAATGGTATTACTTTAATTACCTTATGCTACACTCAGTCATCGATTATGCTTGACCTTCGATTGGGAAGTTGTGGTTAGTGCGAGTCAAGTTCTCGGCACCGTTGCCAGGGATCACTCTAGGTTATCATGAAAATGCTGTGGTTTGTTAGTTTAGATATTTTAGTTTGGTGTTTTGTTTTTTGCTTTGTTGACTCACTCTTCGTTCCGAAGGGTGGTTTGTGTATGTTTGATCTTTTTTTAGTGTTTCTGGTTTTGAAGGTTGAGTCATGGATCCCAATGGTTTCTCGAACATGTGGGGGTATCCACCAACACCCGAATGGAGGCACCCAAAACTTCATTGAGTAATCAAGAGGGATGAAGTCAAGGAACCGATATCTATGATCAACCTTCCTTCTATGAAGAACAACCATACCCATTGGGATTTCAAGAATCCTCCCTATACGAAGAAGACTTCCTCCCACAACTCAAAGTGAAATCCAGATTTGAGCTAACTATGGAAAACTTCATGGCAAGCAACTCATTGGAGCATGTCATGGAGCACTTTGAAAGAACATACTCTAACATGGATTTCCAACCCCTTCTTTCTCTCGATTTGAAAATATAAGGTTGAACAAGCTTGTGCACGCCTTTGTCTCTTACCACTTGAAGACAGAGAGATAAGGTTCAAGAGACAATCAATGACGACCATGTGGAGCAAGAGGAACTCACCCCAGAGGGCTCCCCTGGCGAGGATGACCAAGAGTGTTGCATTGATGATTTACACACCTTTACCCTTCCCAAGAAAAACCTTGAAGACCAAATCTGAAAGGTAGTGGAGCAAATTACCTTATCGAAGACATTGTTTGGAAACTTGTTATCGGACATGTGCTTGAGGAAGAGCGAGAAAGGTTGAGAAAAGGGGGTTGAGGAGGAGGAAGTGAGCATTGAAGAAGAGGAAGATCTTAGTTGTTCCTTAGGGGAGAACATATATGTGGGAAGAAGGAAGAGAGGTTGAAGATGCAAATGGTGTCCAAGATGACGAGTTCGCGGTGGATGAAGCTTCTAAAAGTTACACGTGCCACCAAAGCTTTTTACCGACCTTGATACACTACTAGAGAAGGATCCTTTTGCGGTTTCTCTTCACCAAGCCAGGGCCACACTATGATAAATCCCTCTTGGTGGATGCAATGGTGGTCAATCCATTATTTCCTACATGGTGTGGGGTAAAGAGACGAATGAAGAGGTCTCGGAGGTGGAGCCTCAAATCTCACTAAGTTCACGAGCCATTACCATCACTTTTCACACCATATGCTAGGTACTTACGAATCCACATCACCGAAAAGAGCCTCAATTTTAAGGAGGTTTTGGGATGGACCAAAACTTGATAATCACCGTCTGGCTCATGACATGAAAGAAGCGCTTGTTGGGAGGCAACCCAACCACTTTGGTTTGCATTTTCTTTCACTTTGCTTTGGTTTTCGAGTCAATAATTCAACCTTCATGGGTTTTTAGCATTTTGGATGTCAGCTCGCTCTTTCGGATCTCACACGTCCTCCTAGTCCCTCCACCATCATTCAAATTTGATTCGGTAACTTTGTTCTACCCTCATTATCTTTCCTCCATTGAGGAAAATGTCGTGCATAAGTGTGTGTGTGTGGGGTGTTTCATGATGTGTGTGTGTGTGTGTGTGTGTGTGTGTGTGAATTAGTGTTTGGCATATTCCATGAATTCTTTGGAGCCTTAATGAATGCTCAAATTTCAAAACTTTGAGGGCTCCAAGCACATTCATGAATGATTGTGTTTATGGCATACATTGAGTGTATTTTGGAACCTAATATTGCATCCCCAATTGTGTTTATGACCTACATTGAGTATGTTTTAGAACCTAGTATTGCATGCCCAAATTTAAAAATTTTGAGGGTTCCAAACACCTTGTCCTAGGCATGTACTTGCTTAGTGTGCTTTGGATTGTTTGATGATTGTGATGGTATGTATTATAGGGAGTAGTGTAGCTATGAGGTTTGTCTGTACATGAGGGATTTTACTTACATTTCCTCTTGGATGTGTTGATCTTTTCTACTATCGAGGTTAGGACATATGTGTGAGAGACTCCCCCCCAATTTTTGACTCCAAAAAGTTTTGCGAAAAGATGCTTCGTTTTGAAAAAGTTTTGAAAAAAAAGTGTCTCACATGAGAGGCAACCGGTCATACTATTTAAGTTAAGCCGTTGAGGGGCTTTTCTTTTGGACCGGAGTGTGATTTGAGGATATGTTTTGTGGAAGTTATGGATAGCTTTCTAGCATTCAACCCCCCCCCTACTACTGACTCGCTAAAACACAACACCTAACAATGGCCAAGTGTAACCAATGAAAGGGACTGCAGTATAGTGGCTCAAGTAATAAATATCGAATCCACGGGTCTCTAGAGTTACTATTACTCAGCTTCAGTTCGTTATCTAGCAAAACAGATTAAGTTGAAAGAACTAAAACTACTCTAGCAAACTACAGTTAAAGTTAATCTAATTACAGGTTGGGAACTCACTTAGGTATGATTCCCCCTAGCCACTAGCCAGATTAATGATTGATGATTTCTAACTTGTTTCACTTTCATTCACAATGCGGAGAATCCTTGACTAGACCTTGAGTCTCGACTAAAGGAACAAGGCCCTCTTGAGTCAATTGCCTAGAGGGACGTATCCTTCTCTAGAACAATCGATCAAGGCGTTCTGAACTAGACTCCCTCTATCGAATGCGGTTCTCAATCGATACAAAGCAATGAATCAACCCTCGACTAAAGCAATCGATCCACTGCTATCAATCTATGGTGCTCTATTGACCTAATCAGGTATTCGCTCTCATAGGATCAAAGCAGAATCAATAATCTCGACTAAAGCAGAATTGAATCGTGAAAACATGCATAGATTGAATATGAACTCAAGATTATCAAGTCAGAGTACTCATACAATCATCCAATCAAACAAACATAGCTAGGGTTCCTCAAAACCTAAGTGAAGGGAAGTTACTCCATAGAGAAGAGAGAGACTGCAGAAATCTGATCTAGATCTTCAATCTCCATCTCCAAGCTTGATTCCTGAGCTCCAATGGCGAAGAAATCCTCCAAAATAGCTCCAAGAATGTTCCCAAGTCGCTCTCTCTCTCTAGGGTTCGTCCCTTGGGTGTTTTGGGATCCAAAACCCAGCTCTCCTCCCTTTTGGCTCGGATTAGGCTTAAAAACAGGCTTCCCCGAGTTGCACGGCCAGGTGCACGGCCGTGCACAACACCATTCTGGCCGTGCACCCTCAAAACGCACCGTTTCACTTAATCGATCTCAGCCATCTTGCACGGCCAGGTGCACGGCCGTGCAAGGCTGGATTTTGCCCGTGCAAGGCCTCGGCAGAGAGCGCACGGCCAGAATTATATGTTGCACGGCCGTGCGCCTCCCTGGTCTGCCCGTGCAGCTTGCTCAGCCTCTGTTTAATGCTTCGTTTCTCCCTCGTCCGGACTCCGAATCAGTCGCCGTTTGATCCCAGACGCTCGTAGTCTCGTCCTCTTTCGTTTCATAACAAGCTTGCATGATTCTCTGTCCATAAAGTGAGGTAGAAATCAATTCTTCTTCAGGTCATGCCCGAGTTTCTGCTCCCGAATCGCCAATTGATCTCTGATTGACTTGAAACTTGCGCCTATGCTTCACTTTATGTGCTAGGACCTGAAATGTGACAAAGGAACACAACCTAGCATAAAATAGGCCAAAGACACGGTAATTCAAGCTCAAACAATCAAGAAACAAAAGGGGAAAACATGTGCAAATACCGAGTCATCAAATCCCCCCACACTTAACTGTTTGCTTGTCCCCAAGCAAACCTAACTCAAACCAATGCAACTCTCCAGAGCTCTATAGCAACATACAACCCCGATCGTCGGTAGAGGATTTCCCAGATCATATAGCAGCTTACGAGGTCAACTGGTCTTCTAAGACGTTCCCTATCTCTCTCAATGCGAGT